CTCATAAAATGGACTGAAGAACATCTTTTCTATCAAAGAATCTATTTTAAAAACATTTAAAGAGTTCTTTCTTCTATACCACTCAACAGTAAAGCCATTAGAGAAAAGTTACACATTTGTAACACCTACTCATGCTAACGGTGGATGGAAATGGTCTTACAAATTAGAAGTTCATTCTTCAAAATTTCCCTTCAAATGGACTTGTTCATCTCAGACATGTTAGTTGCTCCCAAGTCAATGGAGATTAATGTGTGTGAAGTAGAGGTACTCAATAGGGCTTTAAAGATTGTGTCCTTTCAGAAAAAGGTGGCCAGGACTACATCCTAAGGAGTGTTTGGGTGAGTTTAAACCATCAACCTTTTAGTTAATAGTTGAATACTTAATTATCTTTACTACTTAGAAATTCCTATTAGAGACATTGTTGTTGTGTACCTTCCCATCAAATCAGAGCCAAGCCATTGCTGACCCTCCCAGGAGTTTTCAGAGGCAGATATAAACACACAGAAGGAGAGTGCCAAGCTTTGTCTCATGAAGCAGCTGGTGGATTCAAACTATCTGTCTTTGTGACAGCAGCACAGCTACTTACCAGGAGGCCACTAAAGCTTCCAACATAGTAACTATTAAATTTGATATATTAGTCTAGATTACCCATCTTTCTCCCTCGGAGCCACTTGGTGGATGTGAACAGCCAGAGGGACACAGCCGTTGGGTTAACAACACAACTCCCTACTGACTATCCGACCAGAGCAACTTTGCCAATATATTAGTCTAGAAAGCTCTATTTTAATGTGGTGCTCACTTTTCACTTCTGCCTTCAGCCTTCCACTTTTCTTTATTTAGTTATTTCATAAGTTTCACAAATGGTAACAACAAAGACTTAATGAAATATTAACCTTCTTTACATCAGCTTCCTTGCTCTCAGCTAAAATGCAAGCCTCAATATTAACATTAATATTTCCTTCAAAGAGTCAAACTGCATGTTAAATCCTCAAATACCAAAAATCTACTAGAAGCAGTATATCTCTGTTGCTGTTGCTCCCCATTTTATAGCATTCTTGAGTATGCAGTAAACAATGGCTATCTTTTATTTATACTATTTTTTTCAAATCCTGAATTATAAGTAAAACTGTAGTGTACTTTAAGGATTAAAAATTTATAATTAACACTAAGAAGTTACAAAACTGTTGAAAAATCACCAGAAAAAGACCAATACAAACTAATTGGGGCTTTAAAAGGTTTAATAATGGCTATGGAGCATACATGTTGATAACAACTGTTATCTCTTATATGTGAGATATTGACCCAACAATAAAACAGATAGCAGTGCCCCACACCAAGATAGCAGCCAACAGAGCCAATCTGAAAGTGTGTCATTTGCCATGGACAAGAGATTTGGTTGCTATGCAACACACATATGCTGCCTTAGTCAACTGGTTCAAAGCCTGGAGACTAATCATGTATCTCTGTTACGCTGTAAGACTATTGGTACCAAACATTTTAGACTAGAACTGAGATTGAATGTCTCAGCTGCTTTGTGACTCAAACAAATAAATTAACCTGTTTCCTCTAATTATACATTATCATACTACTTTAGATAAATAATTTTAGGCATCCCCCTACCCCCATTTTCCCAACTTTGCTATGTTAAAAAAAAAACAACACAACAAAACCATCGTTTTATAGGGTCTTAATCTTTCCACAAATAAAACTTGAAATCTAATGAAATGATCCAGTTAATAATGTCTATCACTGTACCAAAGATGGAAAAGAAAGCAATCAAAACTTAATCATGAATTTAAAACTCAAGAGTTTTGGAGATACAAATCCATTTCTTTCTACTGGCCAAAAATACAGTTTATGTGAATATGAACCTTTTAAGATACATTATGCTTAATAAAGGGACATATGTTTATGAGCATACATTCACCGCTGGACAGGTCCCAAAAACCATGTTGTAAAGTGAAAATTGGCATTATGTGAAAACTATGGTAGTCTATGCCTAATTAACACTGTGTTTGATATTTAAGCCTATCAACATTCAGGAAATGATCTGAAATTATACTTGGAGGATTTTTTACTGACTTATGTTGCAAGCTTAAGTGTGTTTACTTTCAATGTTCTGTGCAAACTCAGCTGATTTAAGTATCAGTTTACTGTGTTAAAAAACAAATTAAATATAGTACAAAAGAATATAATAATGCAATATAAGAAAATTAATCAGATAAATTTTTTGGTTTTGAAATAGTCTGTAAAAGCTGCAATGGGTTCAGGTCAGGATATTCTGGATTGCTGAATGTTCCTGAACTTTAGGTTTATAATTCTGAGACAGGACTTCACAGTCAGAGAAAAAACTAGAGTTGATGGAGAAAGTTTTTAGAAATAATCATTAAGTGAATCTGAACAGTGTTTTTTTCTCTTCATATGTTTCATGGTAACACTCAATTTCATTCACTTCACATTTCACCTTTCCAAACTATTTGCCATTTGAGCTCATGCTTTTAAAATTGTAAATATCCATAAAAATGTTTATTATTTTTACCCTAAATATTTTCACCTTTCTACACATTTTCCCCCACACTCCTTTGTGTTTCTAATTCTTCTTGATGCTCAATCAACTAATTTGAAAGCTCTCCTTTATAGCCTATCAAATCATTCACATCACTTGCATCAATTTCTAAATGAAGGGATTTTGTTAGCATCAAAATTTTACTATTTCTTTCAGCCAGTTGTTGATTTTGGTCCAAACCTTCAAGGTTGCTAAGAAATGCAGAGAAAGAGTTCAAGCATTTTCCCCATCCCTTGCATACACTTGACACTAACTTTATCCCAAGGGGCAGCAATGTTTTATGGAATTGAAAATACTGTAGTTTCCCCAAAACTCATGCAGTGTCACCTTGCTATCCTCCACTGTAACTAAAGTTTTGGCAGATGCTGACGATGATAAAATGGCACCTTGATCCACAGGTTGTATAATAGGGCTGGTGTTTTTCGGTAAAAAAACTACCTTTACACCTGGGTAGAGATGGTTGAGAAGTGGTCGATGTCCAGATGTACTGTCAGGGAGCAAGAGAAGCTTAAAAGGAATTCCCTTTTGCATACAATATTAATTTACTTGAGGTATGAAACAAGTGAAAAAACCAATCCTGGAAGAAAACTTGTGTCATACAAGACCTCCAATTAGATTGGTAATAAACGTGCAATAAGTGCTTAGTTATGTTCTGGAATGCACATGGATTATCTGCTTTATAAATCATAAATGGCTTTAACTTGAATCCAGCAACATTTCCCCCTAGTAATAGTTACTCTGTCGTTAAATTATTTAAATCCAGACATTGCTTTAGCTTCTTTATCAATGTAGGTCCGCTCTGGCATTTTCTCATCATAAAACAGTCTCATCCACATTAAATATTTGTTCGGGCAAATAGTTCCCTTCTGAAATGATTTCACTGATTCATTTAAGAAGAGTTTGGCAGCTTCCTCAGGTGCCATGGTAACTGAATAGTCTCTGGAACCTCAGAAACCACCCATGGCTGGCTGTGAACGCCTCATTGCATTCTTTACCTATTTATTCCTTGTTGTTGTTGTTATGTGCCGTCGAGTTGTTTGTGACTCATAGCGACCCTATGTACAACAGCCCTAAACCCTGCTCTAGCCTGTGCCAGTCGCACTGCCTCTGACACACCCACCCTGATTACCCCAGTCACTGAGTCAATCCATCTCATAGAGGGTCTTCCCCTCCTGCGCCGTCCCTCCACCCTCCCAAGTATGATGTCCCTCTCCAAGGACCTGTCCCTCCTTACAACATGTCCAAAGTATGTCAGACGAAGCCCCAGAATCCTTGCCTCCAAGAAGTAGCCTGGCTTAACCCTCTCCAGGATGAATCTGCTTGTTTTCTTGGCAGTCCAGGGTACATTCAATACTTTTCTCCAACACCATAGCTCAAAGCCATCAATTCTCCTTCTATCCTCCCTAGTCATTGTCCAACTCTATGATGCATAACAAGTGATTGCAAAGACCATGGCCTGTATCAGGCACATCTTAGGTAGGCTCCAGAGAGACACCGTTGCTCTTGAGTACTTTAGAGAGGTCCCTAACAGCAGACTTTCCCATCACAATATTTTTTTTAATTTCAGAGTGTTAAAAATGCTGCATGTTTTGGCTTGAATGTGTGTGTGTGTGTGTGTGTGTGTGTGTGTAATCAGATCTGACTGGTACAGGAAGAGATTGCCCCTCCTTCTCCAAAAGAGCTTCTGGTGGATTCAAGCTAGGTGCCTTTGGGATTGCAGCGCAGCTTCTTGCCACTAGGCCACCAGAGCTCCCCTGGCTTGAATTTTAAGAAGCCCAACTGGTATTCTCTTTTGTTTTTGATCCTCAAAGCATTAGGAGCTTCTTGGTTTTGTTAGAATTATGCCTTTTCATAGCATTCACTGCCAGTGATTCTTTCACTGACTTGATGATTCTTCTCCTATCCTTGAGAATGCTACATACAGTAGAATGAAATAGGCCTTGTTCACGTGCTAACACCCACATTCTTCTCTGATTCCCAGGCTTTTATGATGTCCATTTTTATATTAAGGGCAATGGTGTTGCTATGCCTCTTCCTGCTACTTTCAGTTGAACCAGCCCAATTCTTTCTCTTTGAAGACGATTTGCTATGGGGTAAAAATCCACACAAACAATCAAAATTAATGGCAGACTTTAAGACTGTCTTATTGTAGGGAGCTCTGGTGGCCTAGTGGAAAGAAGCTGTACTACAATCCCAGAGGTGAGTGGTTCAAATCCACCAGATGCTCTGCTGGAGAAGGAGGGACAATCTCTTCCTGTACCACTCAGATCCAATTTGATGGTACACACACACACTCTCTCTAATAAAATTAAATGAAAAAGGAATGTCTTAATGTAATGGCTAGTAGAGAGAGGAACTGTGTTCTCAGGGAGTTGTGCTGCTGCTGGTTCTTATGCTTAGATATGCCTTTATCCAATTTTGTAGAAACACTTACCTTTCAGAAACCACATCAACATGATCTTGGGCCAAATTAACCTTTTCATTTGCTTTTCCTGAAGGCTTGGGAAGATTAGAGCTCTCAGAAGTGTTTCTTCCATTTGAGCTGTTAAATGACTCTTGAGACTTAACCAAATTCTTAGTCTCACGATTTTCAGCCTGTTAAACACATGATGAAAAGGCAGTTGAAGGGCAAACAACCCAACTTTGTTCTTCCACACACTATAATAGGCAAAATTTTCCGTTTAAAATACTCTAGCACTTGTATCTCAAAATATATACATAATCACAGTAACATGTAACTTAATGTCCATTACACTTAGGGAATGGTATGTTACATGATTTGGACCTTATGAGAACACCATATCATATACTTAGCAAAGCTATATGGGATATTACATAGAGAGAGCTCTGTTGGTCTAGTGGATAGAAAGCCAAAGGTGGGTGATTTTAATCTGCGACCTTCAGGCCTGGTTTTAATTCTTTTTGTTAAACATTCTTCTTAGTGGTATAGCACTGATCTGCCCATTTGCTATACAGAAGTGACTCATGGTTACTGTGATGTTAAACACTGTGACACTGATGGTTATCCATGGTGCACAGTGTTTGGTAGAGCTCCCAGATTAAAACAAGCTGGGAAGCAGGAGTGGCATCCACTTCTGAAACAGCTTGCCTCCAAAAACTTTATGAACATGGAGAAACAACAAAAGTTATACAAGTGTTCAGGTCTTTCATTCATAAGGTCACTATGAGTCGTTTAAAACTTGACAGCACTTAACAACATCTAGGATATTATAGTGTAACTGTACTAAGTAGATAACATTTTGCACATATATAATATATCAACTCATGTATCTGGCAAGGTACATTTTCAATGGTAGCAGCTACAAGAATGTTAATAGTATGCAATATTCAACTAGTTTAAGGCTTTGACAAACTCTTCTGCTGTCTTCACATCAGCACTTGCAGGTTCACTGCTCACTTCCATATCATGTAGTGAAAAATGTTGTTTGAAGTTTAGGAACCACCAAGAGCTAGCACTAAACTCAATATTGTAATCTGGTCCTGTTTTTTTAAAAAAATGCATCTCAAACAAGCTTCTTGCCTTAGCTGTAATCATCAATATGCTGAAAGGGATCCTCTTTCGTGTTTGAGCCTCAATCCATGTCATTAGCAACTTCTCCATTTCTGTTACAGGTCCCTCTCTCCTTTTCTTTAGACACGCAGTCTACAGTAGATAATGGTCCTTTAAAGAGCTTGGAGAATTTTTTCTCTTTTTGAAGATTGTCATGACTGTCAAGTGTGGCCTGTCTATATCACAAGCAAGAGCATTTACTGATTTTCCACCTTCATGTTGTTTAATAACTTGTTTCATTCCCAAATGTTTCTTTTGCCTCTTGCTGCTATCATTGGCACAGGTATTGCTACACTTGGGTGCCAGGATGAACTTCATAATATTTTCAAGATAAAATTAGAGTGATAAAATGCTACAACACTTAAGAGACACATGCCACCCAAGACGAGACGCTGCTACCTACAAGTCGACGCACACACTTTTACACAGTATACTTTTTATTTGTAAGTATGGAACATTCACATTAATGATAGAAAATCCAGTACATACATAAGCCATACCTCAGGGATTTAGTATGACTATCAAGATGTATGTGGTATAGGTTACATATGTACCTTATTACTATACATCTGGCAGTACAATCACTTTGTATACAAGACACATTAGGGACACATGCAATACATGGGAAGCGATTAGGATTCCTGAACTCTATTATAACTTTGTGGAGCCATGGAGGCATATGTGGTTGAATGCTTCCTGAATGAGTATTATATAGCACATTACTACATATGTATGTCAATGACTGATCATCGGGATCAGAATTTTCTCTTTTAAAAACAGCAAAACCAAATGAACACACACATACACAGAAATAAAAATAATAGTAAAAGTTGACTTCCCGGCTGGGAGAGAAAGAAGAAAAACAAACACCTAACTACTATTAAAAAGGAGGTTTGGTCGTGCAACAGGGAGCCCTGGTGGCTTTATAAGGAACTGCACTCCAAACCCAGAGGTATGCAGTTCAAATCCATTTACTGCTCTGAGGGAGAAAGAAAGGCCATCTCCACCTGTAACATCTACTGACTGCCTCTTTTCACCTGCTGGAGGGTCATCTAGGAGTCTGGTGGTGTAACAGTTAAGCATTGGATGCTAAACAAAATGTTAGCAGTTTGAACCTACCCAGTGACTAAGCAGGAAAAGAATTAGCAGTCTGCTTTCATGAAAATTATACCTTAAAAAACCCTATTGTTCTACTCTGTGATACAAGGTTGGTAAGAGTCACAATTTCTCCAGCATTTAATAAGAATATTAATAGGTGTATGTACAGTTTTAAAAAACAAACAAATACCTAAAACTCTAAAGCTCATTGCTATCAAGAAAGAACTGACTCATAGCTCATCTGTTACTGGGTTTCAGAGGCAGCAAATTAAACAGGAGGGTAGAATTACTAATTTTTCTCCCTGGGAATGGCTGGTGGATGTGAAGCACCAGGGAGGCACTGTCTTTTGGTGAGCAGTGCAACCCCCTGTGGACTAGGCCATGTATTTGTTGTGTACTGTTGAGTAAGAACCAACTCATAGCTACCCCTCCAGTGGGTTTACAGGAGTACTAAATCACAATGAAGGAGACGACTCATCTTTCTCCCAGGGCGCAGCTGGTGGATTTGAACCACGTGCCTTTGGGTTTGCAGCAACTCCTTACCACTAAGCCATCAGAGCTCCCTATGGACTGAGCCGTTATTGTGTGCTGTCCAGGTGGACCTCGACTCATAGTGGACCCTCCAGGGGTTTTCGGAGGCAATTATTCACGCAGGAGGAGACTGTGAATCCTTCTGCAGAGTAGCTGGTGGGTTCTAACCACAAGCCTTTGGAATTGCAGTTCTGCTTCTTACCACTAGGCCACGGAATAGGCCATACTTAATGACAATTAAGAAGTTTTGGTGGCCTAGTGTGTAGGGGTAACACTGCATGGTTCAAAATTGGGAAGAGTGTACGCCAGGGATGTGTCCTATCTCCACACCTTTTCAACCTGTACGCAGAGCAGATTATCCGAGAGGCTGGACTCTATGAGAAGTGTGGTGTCAGGATTGGTGGAAGACCTATTAACAATCTGGGCTATGCAGATGACACAACCCTGCTTGCTGAAACTGAGGAGGACCTCATGCACTTGCTGCAGAGGGTCAAGGACTGCAGCCTTTAGTATGGACTGAGGCTCAATGTCAAGAAGACAAAAATTCTCACTACTAGGCCAAATGGCACCATCAGAATGGATGGTGAAGAGATTGAGATTGTTCAAAGCTTCTGTTTGCTCGGCTCCACGGTCAACACTCTTGGCACCAGCAGGCAGGAAATAAAAAAACGTATTGTGATGGGAAAGTCTGCTGTTAGGGACCTCTCTAAAGTACTCAAGAGCAATGGTGTCTCTCTGGAGCCTATGGTGCGCCTGATACAGGCCATGGTCTTTGCAATCACTTGTTATGCATCAGAGAGTTGGACAATGACTAGGGAGGATAGAAGGAGAATTGATGGCTTTAAGCTATGGTGCTGGAGAAGAGTATTGAATGTACCCTGGACTGCCAAGAAAACAAGCAGATTCATCCTAGAGAGGGTTAAACCAGGCGACTCCTTGGAGGCAAGGATTCTGGGGCTTCGTCTGACATACTTTGGACATGTTGTAAGGAGGGACAGGTCCTTGGAGAGGGACATCATACTTGGGAGGGTGGAAGGACAGTGCAGGAGGGGAAGACCCTCTATGAGATGGACTGACTTAATGACTGGGGTAATCAGGATGGGTGTGTCAGAGGCAGTGCGACTGGCACAGGATAGAGCAGGGTTTAGGGCGGTTGTACATAGGGTTGCTATGAGTTGCAAATGACTCGACGGCACATAACAACAACAACAGTGTGCAGGGGTTTGCCCCGCCCATCTAAAAGTCAAGTCTGTGGCAATTCAAGTCTACCAGAAGCTTGGAAGGAGAAAAATGGGCAATTTTCCTCCAACAAAATTAAAAGCTATGGAAATTCAACAGAGGAGAGTTATAAGTCAGTCTCAACTTGATAGCAATGAATTTAAGGTTATTCTGAGAACAATTAATTTGGGAAGTCCTAGTGGCATAGTAAAATAGGTGTTGGGTTGTTAAACAAAAAGTCAGTAGGTTCAAACCCATCAGCTGCTCCACAGGAGAAGGATGAGGCAGTCTCATTCCTGTTAAGATGTATAGTCTCAGAACCCAGCAGAAGGTTCATTATGAGTTGGAATCAATAGCAGAGTTTGGGACTGGAATGATTACCTTTATGAAAGTGATTATTCTATTAAATTTTAGAAACGAATAACACTGTTTTTGTAATATGCCACTGAGTCAGAATCAACTCATAGGTGAACTCCAGCTGTTTTTCAGAGGCTGTAAATGACATGGGAGGAGACTGCCTATCTTTATCCCTTGGCGCTGCTGGTGGATTAAAGCCACCTAGCTTTGGGTTGGCAACACAACTCCTTATCTACTAGGCTACCTGGCATCAACTAAATACAAGGCTTTAACAAAAACACACCTTAATTTTTTTATATAGTTGGTTCTCATTTGCAAAGCACTATTCTATAACGTCACCTTGAGCACTGAGTTACCAAATACTGAACCACTGCTCTAGGAGTAATACAGGTTTTATTTCCCATAAGCCTCTGGTCACATTTTTGCCAATCAATACACAATCTTGTTTTTAAGTGCTTTTCTGTGTAAAAACAATTTCTTTATTATATATTATTGAGTCACTAACATTGAATTCCTGGTCAACAACACTGTAACTAATGCCTACATGAAGCTTTTCTCTATAAGGCATGCTGGAGTCTTCTTGTGCTTAGGCTGTAAGACAAATACTTCTGCACTAATTATGCTTTGGGCCTTTAAAAGCAATATCACAACCAAAAAAGGGGTAGGGCACAAAAATGAGAAGACCATAGAACTAGACAGACCACACACACACACACACACACACACACACACACACACACAATCTATTACTACAATGAGACTTGAAAAAGAAAGGAAAAACACTACCTTGTTGGACTTAACCAAAACCCACTTTTTACCA